TTTATATCAGAATCTCTGTTTAAAGGAATACATTTCACCTCTTTGTGATGGAGAGCTGGATGAGAGATCGATCATTACTGTTCCTATCTGGTCACTGAGTATGTAACTACAGGTTCAGCCAGCAGCCGGTTAGCTTAGCATAAAGACTGAAACACTGGGAACAGCTGTCTGCCTGTGTGAAGGGAACAACATGTAGCTGCCTACCAGAACCTCAAAGTCTCAGACTATCATGTTTTATTAGTTTTATTTATTCAAACACGACAAACCATTGTTTGATAGCAGGACTTCAGACCACATATGGTTGCCTGGCAACTTTTTTAGCACATTAAGACTGTATCATATACAATATACATAAGACAGAAACAAACAAACAAGACCCAGGTGCAAAGGGAAAGGAAAATGGAGGAAACAGTTCAAGACTATCATTGAATTAATTCCACGTAAGGAGGCTGTAATCAGTTCTTCGAGGTCACAAAGGCTGCAAACAGGTTGTGCTAATAGTTGTTTAAACAAGAGACCAACTGCCTATACATATTCTGACCTTAATTACTTGTATTTTTTACACTACTTAATTGTGTTTACATCTTTGTGTGAACAGAAACAAGCCAAAAGATAATGCAATGACATTGAATCATTACTTCAGATAGAAATCCAATCTCCTTTATTCCCCATTGTTACTGTCCTTATGTATTAATACTTCAATTTGTGATCACAATAAATCACTATTATTGCTAAATTAATTTCAAGTTAAACTCATTCTGACCGCCAAATAAGGCGACAAAGAAACCAGAAGACAGATTAATTGGAAAAGTTGGTAGTTTTATTGGTCATAACAGGACGTGGTGAACATTTATTCGACTTCTTGCTCCACTACAGTCGTCTTCTCACTGATGTAGATGCCGTCCAGGAACTTCCTGATGTCCTTCTTTCTGACCGTGGTGGCCTGTTGGATCAAGGCCGCTGAAAAAGAAACAGCAGAGTCGAGTGTGAAGAGAGCGAGCAGATCACATGACACCGAGTAGGCGGTTTAATGAAAACAGTAAATAACATGTTAAATACTGAGACCGGAGCACGATATGAGTTAACTAAGATTTAACTACTCAGATCTTAGATACATGCTGTGGTTGGTGTTAAATTAAGACATTAAACTGAAGTCAAAGACACAATGCGGCATCTGAAGCACCGAACTTAAGGCTGGGCAACAGTTCAACATTAGACTTTAAGTGGAACCACATTGTCATATGATCACGTATCGTTTACTGTGGCCCACATTAATTATAATTAATTCCAAATATAAATAATGACTGTTTTTATGTAAATGGTAAAATATTGACAGTTCATTGCTCTTATGCCATGTTGTGATGTCGTTACATTAATTTGACAGATGCAAACAACCAAAAGCGACAAAGCGACCGCAAAAAGGACGAGAGGTTTACAAATTTCCATATTGTGAATGTTAAAATAAATGTTCAGTTAATTGTATCGACAGAAAATGTCTTGAAAAACGTACTCTGCTGGTTCTAGCTTCTTAAACTTGTAGTTTTGATGCTTTTGTAACATCTGACAGCAAATGTATTCTTCGTTTTGAATTGTCTGATCAAAAAATCTTTGGCAAATTTTAAACATTTTGTATTTTACCAATTTCTGACAGAAACAACAGTTAATGCTGGAAATATAAAAAAAAAACACTTGTTACTTTAAAGCCATATTGTGAAGCTTTTACACTAGATAACAATAAAGTGTTTGATGTATCGACGATGTAGAGCCACAATACACTGCACAAAACAAATAGCAGGAACAAATACAGAAAAGAAAAAGACAAATGTCTTTGCGTCGCCACCAAGACATCAATGTACAGTACATGCAAAGAAAAAGAAAGCAGATAAGCCACAATAGGAGGCGTCGGCGGCTTTGTCTAACCTCTATGAGTGCTGTGGTAACTTTTACTGATCCGCATCCACTACTGTTCCCTTCTCAGACACGTAAATACCGTCCAAGAACTTTCTGATATCCTTATTTTTGACTGTGGTGGCCTGTTGGATCAGAGCAGCTGGAACAGAGAGAAGTTGGGATGAAGAACACATCACACACACACAGGATCACAATAATTACAGAGGAGGTTGGAGGAAGGATCGGACTGAGGAGGGCTGAGATATAGTGAGATATAGTGAGGTATAGTGAGACCTGGAGGGACTAAGATAGTGACAGTTCTGTTTTTGTGGCTCTGCATTTCACATTTGTAATGAAAGAATTACAAGTTTACAGCTTAAATTCACATCATATGTATGACTAAATATAATTTTTATAGATAAACCACAAATGTTAGTAAAAAGTTCATCCTATTTAATATTTGCTAATCTGTTAGCTTATGTCTAAAGGCTACAAACCATAGACATCAGCATACGATATCTTTCCTGAAGATGCTCTGTCGGGTCTGTACAGCAGCCAGATTTACCTGCTGCTCCATTAAGTGAAATGAATGCTAGTTGAACAATGCACCCATAAAGCTGAAAATCAATCCAACTACTGTGCTGGAGTACAGAGCCAAAAAACAAAGAAATGTGTCACTGTCCTACTTACTAACACTGTATACCAGTGGGTATATAGAGGGGGAGAGAACATGTTCACAGTAAATCTGCTACAGAATGCACTTTACAATCTAAAAAATGAAATAAAAATTAAACTGAGGTACAGTGAGTGTGTTTTATAGTGTGTATGTGTTACAATGTAGAGAATAAGAGGTGCTTGACAGATAACTGAAGTCAGAGGGTTAACAAGGTATCTGAGGCGTTCAGACAGTTTCTGCTTTGTTTTTTGGACTTTTATCTTTGCCTTTTCCAGTTGAAATAGGTTAGTCTCTTCAGAACTCTAAAAACATTTAAAATACTTTGCTTTAAGTGCTCACAACCAAGCACATATTGGCCCTTTAACACAGGGCTGCACGATGATTTTGAATTTACTATTAAGTGTAACAAGCCTCAAGTTTGGGTAACACTGACTTTACTGTATTATGAATAATACTAAGTGCTGGAATTTACTGAATTTTTACCATATAGTTTGAAAGCTGCAGTTTTCTACAGAACATTAATGATAAAACTATCAGTGCACCTCTATTAGTAATGAGGAAGAGTATTACTTTATGGCAGGATGTTTGTGTTTATAGTTCAGGGGAATATACACTCTGCTCTGGAGGGGAAGAGGGCCTATACATGAAAACAGGATTATTACAAATACCACAGGACTGATGTAAAACTAGTTACACAGACTGCAGATGTCTACAGGGGAGGAACCAGCACTTTGCCCTTCATGTCACCAACAGATTTCCTGTTGTCTTGTTTGTTCACCTTTTATATTGTGGAAGAATAAAGTATTTCACAACAAGCCTAAAGGCAGAATCACTGCCCTGAAACGATTATATCAGCGATCCCACTCATGAAAATAATGACAACCTGCAACGTCTTAGCTAATGAGTGTTTAACAGCAGAACGTATGGGGTCAAACATGGGGATTGATCTCGGTGGTAGTGTTATGAATCCTTCATCTCTGATGTGGAGGAAGAAAATACCGGGACATGTAGAAGAGGAAAATGTGTGGAGCGTACCTGAGTTTGACACCAGCTCAATGTCGTTCCCCTCTAGGATCAGCTCGTCCTTCTGGGCAGCGGAGACCGCACAGTTCACACCTGGGAGAGAGGGGGAAATATTTTTACCATCACACCCTCAAATCAACAGCAGAAGAGCAATATGGCCTAATAGAAAATGTCAGTTTATAAAATCCTTAAACACATGGGACTCTACGGGGAAATGATTCTACATGTCTTGTGTGGGTTTAAGGCTCATTGAGTCCTCAGCAGCTGTATATCTCTGCATTATAACATTGTTTAAATCTTGATTTTACAATGCAGACTTTTGCATCATTTTAAAAACGCTGAATTTGAATTAGTCGATTGATCGCTCAGCTCTAGATTGATCATTTTGAACACCTGGAGAATTCTTACATTTTCTTCCTCACTCAGAACTTTGGATCTCATGTTAAATAAATAGTGTCGTCCTCCTCCTCATTTCCAATATTTCCAGAACTTGCAGCAGACTCACCAGTCCTCATTCGGACACGGCGGATGTACTTCTCTCCCAGGAAGTTCCTGATCTCCACCAGAGTTCCACTCTCCTGAATGACGACGTTGATGGGGAAATGGGCGTACACAGAACGCATTTTGTACCGGAAACCCTGCAGTCACACCGAGGCAACGAGAGGCAATGAGCCAGAGCGTAAAGGCAAACAAACCAACCAACAATAACGAGCTGTACGGCTTTAGACGTACTAATCCCACCGTAAAGGCCGGGCAGAGCTTATTATAGCAGTTTGACTTTGGCACAACGAGCTATTGTCGAAATAAAGTCTCACCAAAGTGACTCCCTTGATCATGTTCTGGACGTGGCTGCAGATGGTGCGGACTGTGGCCAACTCCTTCCTGTTTCCCCACCATTTATCCACACGAAGCTGAGAAAGACAGCACAGCGACTCACATCACTTTGACGTAAACTGTACAAAAACTAAAACTACTGAAAATCTGTTTTAAGTTCAAGTTTTGCCAAAATACTGAGCTGCACTTTTGAGTACGTTCAGACACTTAAGATGATTTCAGCGTCAATATTTCAGTCTACAAATGAACAGTAGAGATTAGACAGTGATCAACAACTAAGATAATAACCTGAACATGTATATTTTACATGAGAACAAACTGTTACACACACCAGATCATTGCTTTGTGCAACTACACAGCCCAGCCGTATTTAAACCAAGTATAATTTACATTATACATTAGTTAAACAACCATTTTCTCCTCCTTACCTTCTTCTGTTTCTTGCCCAGCAGGCTAAGCTCCAAGTTGATGTGGTTGAACTCCCTGACAAGTTTGCCACGGGGCCCCTTGACAATCACCGTCCGCCCCTTCAACCTCACCTCGACTGTGCCACCACGCCGCAAATACAAGAAGAAAACACACACACACAGGATGAGAAGCCACGCTTTACACAACCTACAGGTTAAACACAGGTGTGCCAAGTTAATCCTGACAGTCTGTTAAAAGAAAGCAACAATCTCTTACCTTTGTCGGGGATGTCGACAGTCTGACTGCTGAGAATGGTCTTCATTCTGTAAGAGAGACACAGTTTAATGTGATATAATGTGAGTTTAATGGTCTGAAGCTCTGCACCCTGATGTGTGACAGCTTCACTCTCAGCAGCTGTAACAGTATATAACAGTATATAACAGTATATAACATTAACCACGGAGTTAATGGTACAGGGTAATGACTGGACTTCATTTCAAACACGTTGCTCACTAACACAGTAAACTCAGTGTGTAACGTTAGCAGCTGAGCACGGCTAATGCTAACGGAGAGCTACATGAGGTGGTGAGACACTTAAATCACCTAATAGAAACTGTACCACAGTATTAGAGGGGGTTATTAACAGCTGAAGTCAGACGAATCTTAAACTGCAGTATTGTTCAACCCGCTGCGGCCCGGACGGACCCGCAACTCCAGGCCTCACACACACACAGAGAGAGAGCGGAATCAATGGCAAAACAACTAACATATTTCCTAATAATCCGTAATCAGATCTGAAATACAGCCTGTGTGGTGAAACACAACACTGTCCGCGTCTGATGGTTCAAACTCAGGCCTAAAACATGTTTAATAGACGCAGATGGAGTTAGATGAAACACAGGGAGCATTTGTTCGGTTATCCTCACCTCGCCGGTAGCAGAGGAAAGGAGGAAGGAAGGACGTCACCACGCAATTGTAGAGCACGTACGTAACGTCATCAGGCATTACACGTCAACCGAGGAGCTCCGTGACGTTCAGGCTCTACGTAACAGTAATAGTTGGGTTGTTATGGCAGAAGTGTGACTTTTTATTAATTAGTGAATTGTTTTAGTTGTAAACAATGTGAACGGATACCGAGCGGCCTGCGGACGTTGTTTTACGGTGTCGCTATTAGCAACAGGTCGTCCCGTTCAGCTCTGCCGCGTTCAAGTGATGTTGTAGATCGCAGTTACCATCAGCTGAGTGGGGAAAACCGTCAACATCAGCTTTAAACTCCTGAATCAGAGATTATGTGTGACAGTAAACACAATGTCTCGAAAGTCACCATTGCTGACATCCAGATCAAATTCAGTATTTTAACTCATATTTAAAAAAGGGGGTTACATTATTACAGTGTGTCTTCGTCTTAACATTTGATTTGCCAAGAAATCAGTCATTTTAAGTGTGTTTTAGTATTAAACTGTTAAATATGATTTGAAAAGTCTTAAATTTTAATCAATGAAGTTACTTGTAAAAACTTTTCATTCTTTCTATTAAGTGTTTTTTTTTATAGATTATGCTGTAAAAACCACAAAATAAAACCAATACCAATTGTCCTTTATATTGCTTACGTGTTTTGCCTGTATGGACATAAAATTGGTCTTAAATTGCATTCATAATTCTCTTGACAAGTTATACTTGTTGTTTACTTACTTGTTTTATAATCGTTTTTGCTATGGTATCAATTTCTAGTTGTTTCTGTTGTTATCTTAGTATTTTTAGCATCATTATTTGTCTTTTAGTTTTGTTTAATCGCCTTTAACCTCCTTGGCTGTGACTTTGACAAAGAAGTTTTCAAAGTTATTGGGGCTTAGCTTGTTAACTTTTGATAGTTAAAAAATTAAGTAGTCTAATTTACTGCAGAGGTTCCCAGTCTGGGGGTTACGACCCCCACTAGGGATCGCCAAGGCTTCACAGTGAGTTGCAAGGTCTTGATTTTAAGGGGTGTAAGAAAACTTATAAAATATTCACAATATCCCTATATCTCAACATTTTGTTAATTTCTGTGAAGAAAACTAAAGGAATTATTTATTTTTTTAAGTTAAAATTATTATTTAAGAACTAAACTTTGAAAACCTAAACACAAGCCTATAATTATTATTCACAGAGGCTTTAATCTGTAATTTGAAATAAAAAATACATGATACAGACACAACATTGCATAAAAAGTTCCTTAAAAAATATCAGGAAAACTCACAATAATCTGCTCAAAACTCATACAAATTGCTTGTTTTTCCCAGGTTATGTCACTTAGCCAGGGGTCGTCACTTCACTCAATAATAGTTGGGAACCACTGATTTATGGCATTGAACTGGTGCTGAAATAATCCCTGAACGCCCCATAAAACAGGAGAATTCCTGTCTTCCCGATGTTCCCTGAACGCAGCACCAGACCAAAGCAGCCGCTCGTCGAGGTTTGTCTCCAATGACAGCAGCCTGCTAGCTAAAGTCATGGCGTTGCTCAAACAAAGCTGCTGTGTCGCTGGTCGTTTCTCCACAAGCCATCTGTGGATGAGCCCCAGATGTTTCCCACATGTGAGTACCTCCACTCGGATATTTCCCCCACTGACAGACACCGACGCTGCGGGTCGTCTGCTGACGGCTGCCCGTCGGTTGTTGTCGGGCCTTGTGACAGGCTGCTCATAATGCCCATAATAAGTGTTGTATTGTTCCTCTGCAGGGTTACACCAGCAGTCTCACAACCGTGGCCAAGTCCTCTCCGGACCGAGCTGACAGGAAGAAGGAGCTTCTGTCTGAGGACGGACCCGACCTGCAGGACTTCATATCGGGGGATCTGTCGGAGAAAAGCAAGTGGGCAGAGTACAGAGGCAACCTGAGGAGAGAGAAGGGAGAGAGGTAACACAGATATTATATTAGATACATGTTTGATGTGCATTTTGCAGCTGTGGCAAACAGGAGTGAGGACGTGTGGGGTTTTCAGTTCTTACAGGCTCAACAAGGCTCCATATTTGATCTGTGAGTGTTATCAAAGAGGTTCAAAGACCAGATCAGACTAAATCTTATCTTCTAGGCTGTGTGGAGCTGGATCAACGTGAGGTTTCCATGGTGGCTTCCAGATCCTCACACATGTCGTTATATAATAGTACTTCTGCCCATTTCCCCCTATTGATTTCTGTTTTACTTAATTAAAGTGTGATAAATGTGTCTGTTGTTGTGTATGTAAAACCTTACTGTTGCATGGACTTCACTTGAAACTGTTGTCATTAGTCAGATCACAACAATGTGTCAGCATAAGAGACGTATAAGTAAATGGCACAAAGAGCAAGATGCACATAAGACTGTAACAGAAACAGAAAACAGTGAATTATAAAGTAAAAAAACACTTTTGAATATAAAAAAGTATTTTTTTAAAACAGACTTTTGAGTGAAGTTTGGGGTCGTGCAGTCTAATGTTAGTCCTGTATTTGATCTACACTGTAACCTGACAGGATCTCTGACATCTGTGGGAAATAATCTGTTAAAGTGATGTGTAGTCGAAGATATTGTAATTGTTCTCATGAGACAGACTGTGGGTTTTTAACGTGTGTGTCCTCACCTTAAGGTCTTGTTGCTCCGTTATAAAGGGCAAAGCACATCACAGTATGATAATAACTGCTGTTATAACTAATGAGATCAACGGTTGGCATCTTGTTTCTGCTGCATCGTGTCTTAAGCAGTACGCACTGAGCTGCGGTCCACTGTGTGTGTAGAACGGGAACAAATCAGTGTGTTTTCTAACCAGGTTACAAGCTGAAACTGAGAGGACGCTGACGTTTGGTGATATGACAAAATATACTGTAAGATGATGGACGTTTGTCCACCATCGGATAATTTGGAGTATCGTTCATGCTATCTATGGTAGCTTATCTTTTAATATCTTTGTTTGTGGTAGTTGATATTATATTATCTATATTAAAACGTTCACATAAGTAACTATCACATGGTGTAGCGACATAATACCGTGATGGAAGAACAACTACATGGAGATGAGACCGCTCTTGCACATGTAGTGAATTGCTGTGTTGTTGGTTTTTGTGTGACAGGCTGCGACTTCCACCGTGGCTGAAGACGGAGATCCCCATTGGAAAAAACTACAATAAGCTGAAGAACACACTGAGAGACCTCAACCTGCACACAGTAAGTTTTATAGTCAGCTGACGGGTTGAACTAAGGAACAGCCTGCATAAGTGAGTGAAGAAATATAACAAATGCAGATTCTTTCAAACAGGTTAAGTAGGCATTTAAATCCACCCGTCCCCTTTGATAAATTAATGTTATTCTTATTCTGTGATGAAATATTTGTACCCTGATGGGACTGTCTCTTCCAGGAGGACAATTACCTTATTCACGATATTTATCAAATTTCAAACATAAATGGCTTCTATATCAGGGTCTACCTATATATAAAATGTATAATGTTGGATAAAGTCCTCTGATAGTGAAAAGAAGTCCAGTAATCTTGTGTCAGTTCTTGTACATTTGAAGACTGTGTCTGTGTTTTTCTCAGGTGTGTGAGGAGGCCAGGTGTCCTAACATTGGGGAATGCTGGGGAGGGGGAGAGTACGCCACAGCCACGGCCACCATCATGGTAAAGCTCCCGGCACACTGTGACTCTGTGGTGTAACTGAATTCACAGATGTTTGATTTGATTTCTAGTAAAATGTGTCTAATACAGCTATAGAAATCATTAATATTTAT